TCTGCTTTGTGCCAGCAGAAGGCACCAGATCTCATTCAAGGTGGTTGTGAGCATAGAACTCAGGACCTCTGGAAGAACAGTCTTAACCGCTGACCCATCTCTCCAGCCCAAGCACTGGTGTTATTAACCTAGGATTTCACAACCCCTTTGGATATAGCTCAGGTCTGCTTATTATTAATTTTGTAGCCCATGAACCCACTTTGTAACCTAGGTGGGCCTTGGTTTTATAATCTTGATTCAGCCTCCCAGTAGCTGAGAATTACAGGTAAGTTTCAAACATGCTCAGTTTGGACAGTGCCATTTCTGGAAGCTGAAATGTAGGAACCACAAAAATTCTTCCAGCAGCCCCACCTTGTTTTAGCTTAATGGAAACAACAAAGAAGCAGTCCAGACTTGTTTTTGGAAAACTGAAAGTAAGGATCATTTCGTGCTGTCCGTGAAATGCCACCCTTTCTAAACTGCAGTGCTGGGTGGGTGGAGTCTGCCCTCAGCGGTCAAGTGTGGCAGCCCCCACCATCCCTGCTTGTGGGAAATTCCACACACAAAGTTACACTGTGCCTGGTGGCGGTGGCAGTGGCGCACACCTTTAAACCCAGCTTCGGGAAACAGACAGGTAGATCTCTGAGGTCTAGGCCAGCCTGGTCTACAGAGTGAGTTCCAGGACAGCCAGGGCTACACAGAGAAATCCTGCTTGGGGAAAAAAAATCAATAAACAGTACAAGAGATGTGAGTACTGGAAACATTGAAGCGAAGCAAGCGTGGCATCTGTGTTCAGTCAGTCTCCTGGAAGATTGTCTTTATCATTCATTCCCTCGGCTTCCTTCTTCCTGGGCCCCAACTTTGTTGTTATTAGTCTGATGTAACAAAGGGCTCATTCTGTAAACCAGGCTGGGTCTCAATGTCCTCCTCCTACTCCCTCTCCCTCCCTAGTGTTCTTATGGTTCAGCATTCTTTGCAAGTAGAAGTACTCTCAAAGTAGACAAGTTCCCGCCACAAAGCTACACTCTCAAACTCAGTTGGTAAATTGAAGTGATTTTCCCCCCAGCAATTCAAAGCCTGCCTGTATGCAAGACCTATCAAATCCTGGTTAAGAAAGGTCTTCAGTCCCTATTTCCTCAGAAATTGTTACTATAACTAAGTTGGAAACCTAGTTCTAACCTTTAACCTCGGTTAAAAATGAAGTCTTGTCTTTATGTCAAAGTCAGTTTGTGGCTAAAGTTTTTTTGTTTTTTTTAATTTATGTAATTTAATTTAATGATGTAAAGGTGTCAGATCCCCTGGAGTTAGGAGTTACAGACAGTTGTGAGCGGCCATGTGGGTGCTGGGAATTGAACCTGGGTCCTCTGGAAGAGCTGACAGTGCTCTTAATCTCTGAGCTATCTCTCCAGCCCTTTGGGTTTTTTTGTTTTGTTTTTGTTTTTTGGCTTTTTGAGACAGGGTTTCTCTGTATTGCTTTGGAGCCTGTGCTGGAACTCGCTCCGAACTCACAGAGATCCACCTGCCTCTGCCTCCTGAGTGCTGGGATTAAAGGGTGCACCACCAATGCCAGGCTCAGCTGTTTTGTTTTTGAGATGGTTTCTTTTTTTTTTCTTTTTTTTTGGTTTTTCGTGACAGGGCTTCCCTGTGGCTTTGGAGGCTGTCCTGGAACTTGCTCGGTGATCAGCCTGCCTCTGCCTCTGGAGTGCTGGGATTAAAGGGTGCACCACCAATGCCAGGCTCAGCTGTTTTGTTTTTGAGATGGTTTCTTTTTTTCTTTTCTTTTCTTTTTTTTTTTTTTTTTTTTTGGTTTTTTTCGAGACAGGGTTTCTTTTTTTTGTTTTGTTTTGTTTTTGTTTTTTGTTTTTCGAGACAGGGTTTCTCTGTGGCTTTGGAGGCTATCCTGGAACTCACTTCGTAGACCAGGCTGGCCTCGAACTCACAGAGATCCACCTGCCTCTGCCTCCCGAGTGCTGGGATTAAGGGCATGCGCCACCAACGCCCGGCTCGAGACAGGGTTTCTCTGTGGCTTTGGAGACTGTCCTGGAACTAGCTCTTGTAGACCAGGCTGGCCTCGAACTCACAGAAATCAGCCTGCCTCTGCCTCCCGAGTGCTGGGATTAAAGGCGTACGCCACCAATGCCCGGAGAGATGGTTTCTTTTTGTCTTTACTTTCTTTTTTGTTTTTATTTTGTTTCTTTTTTGCTTATTTGTGTATTTATTTATTTATTTTGAGACAGGGTTTCTTTGTGTAGCCCTGGTGTTCTGGAATTAGTGCTGTAGACCAGACTGACTTTGAACTCAAAGAAATCCATTTGCCTCTGCCTCCTGAGTGTTTGGATTAAAGGTGTGCAACACCACTTCCTTGAAGGTAAAGGTTCTCTAGGCAAGAATCAGGAGCTATGTTCTCACTGATATGATACAAATAGCAGAGTTTCTGATAATTTGAGGGTTTTTTTTGTTTTTTGTGTGTTTTTTTTTTTTTTTTGGTTTTTCGAGACAGGGTTTCTCTGTATTGTTTTGGAGGCTGTCCTGGAACTCGCTCTGTAGACCAGGCTGGCCTTGAACTCACAGAGATCCGCCTGCCTCTGCCTCATAAGTGCTGGGATTAAAGGCGTGTGCCACCAACGCCCGGCTGGTTTTAATATTTTTATTTATTTATTGTGTATCAGTCTTCTGCCTACATGATAGCAGAGGGCACCAGATCTCATTATGGATGGTTGTGAGTCATCATGTTCTTGCCAGGAATTGAACTCAGGACCTCTGGAAGAACAAGTCAGTGCTCTTAACTGCTGAGACATCTCTCCAGCCCGTTTTTTGTTTTTTTGAGGCAGGGTTTCTCTGTATTGTTTTGGAGGCTGTCCTGGAACTTGCTTTGTAGACCAGGTTGGCCTCCAGCTCACAGAGATCTGCCTGCCTCAGCTTCCCGAGTGCTGGGATTAAAGGCGTGCACCACTAATGCCCCCCCCCCTTTGTGTACTGTTGACAAGTACAAAAATCAATGCCTTGGACCCAGGAGAAAGTGACAAAGCTGGTCCCCATATAAGCCAGGCTAGAAGGCAAAGTTGCCTTCTGACTCAAGTACAAGTGTTTATCGATAATTGATTAGTGTTTACAAAAACCTAGCAACTGCAGCTTCCTCCTCCAGAGTGTTAACGGCCTGAGACTGAGACTCTCCTACAGAGACCTCGTACACTACAGGAATTAGCTTAACCCCTCTCACTCTACTGTACCTAACAACCTGAAGTTCTTACAAACAGCCTGAAGTCAGTTTGGAGGTAGTAGGATCCATTCCAGAGTAAGCACACCCCCATCTGACCTGTCAGTATGTCTTGTCTGTATGTCTTCCTTTCATTTCTTTGCCACACCCAATCTGATTTCCAGGACCCAACCTCTGGAAGAGCAGAAAGTGGTGCTCTTAATATCTAAGACATCTTGCCGGGCGGTGGTGGCGCATGCCTTTAATCCCAGCACTCCAGAGGCAGAGGCAGGCGAATTTCTGTGAGTTTGAGGCCAGCCTGGTCTACAGAGTGAGTTCCAGGACAGCCTCCAAAACAATACAGAGAAACCCTGTCTCGAAAAAGAAAAACAAAACAAAACAAAACAAAAAAAAGCTGGCTAGAAACAAACCAAGCTAATATTGGGCATTCATAAGTTTCCATGTGTTTATTTTGGAGCTGATGGTGGGTTCCCCAAAGAGTAAAAAACCCTTTTCCGCCGGGCGTTGGTGGCGCACGCCTTTAATCCCAGCACTTGGGACGCAGAGGCAGGCGGCTCTCTGTGAGTTCGAGGCCAGCCTGGTCTTCAAGAGCTAGTTCCAGGACAGCCTCCAAAGCCACAGAGAAACCCTGTCTCGAAAAACCAAAAAAAAAAAAAAAAAAAAAAAAACCTTTTCCACCCAACTTCACCTTAATATTTGAGACAAGGTCTCTCACTGGATAACAATACTGATTCCTGCTACATTGGGTGACCAAAAAGCCCCAGGGATCTTCCTTTTTTTAATGGTTTTTCAAGACAGGGCTTCTCTATTGTTTTGGAGACTGTCCTGGAACTAGCTCTGTAGACCAGGCTGGCCTCGAATTTAGAGATCCGCCTGGCTCTGCCTCCCAAGCGCTGAGATTAAAGGCGTGTGCCACCACCGCCCAGCGTATCTTCTTGTTTTTGCCCTCTTTGTATTGAGATTACAGGTACATAGGACTGCTTTTGTCTTCTCACGAAGGGGTCTTGGGAATCAAACTATGGGTCTTAGACTTGTATGACTTTCCACCGAGTCATCTCCCCAGGTCTTTAGCATTACCATGCAGCTCAGGAATGCTTTTGCTTCAGCCTGCAAAGTGCTAAGATCAGGATGGCACACTAGGATGGTAAACGGTCTTTTAAAATCTTTTCTTTGGCTTTCCGAGACAGGGCTCCTCTGCATTGTTTTGGAGGCTGTCCTGGAACTCGCTCTGTAGACCAGGCTGGCCTCGAACTCAGAGATCCGCCTGCCTCTGCCTCATAAGTGCTGGGATTAAAGGCGTTTGCCACCCATACCCATGCTCTTGGTTCTTTAAATGAAATTTGTGCATAATAGTCCTGGATATCTCTTGCAGCCTGGGCTGGCTTTGAACTGCCTACCTGTGCCCCCTTAATACTAGAATTAAAGGTATATGCCACCTCCCAGCTAATTTTGTGTGCATGGGAGCTCAGAAGAGTGACAAGTTGCAGTTAGGTGAGAACTCAGGCCCTCAGTCAGATTTAGACAGCAATCCTGGAAGTCACTGTGTAGAACAGTCTAGCTACCTGCTTTTGCCTCCTGAGTTCTAAGATTAATGTGATGTGATACCACCTGGCTCCAGCTATTCTGAGTTAACAATGGCTACCCATAATGCACAGCCTTGCCTAATTAGTTTGTAGGACCAGCCCAAATAGATATAACCACCAACTTCAATAGCATGGATTTTCATGATCTTTTACCCTGCACCAAATAAACAAAACAGATGGCAAAAGAACAATTTTATTTATTTTTAAAGATTTATTATATATACCAGATTGAATTGTAGATGGTTGTGAGCCACCATGTGGTTGCTGGGAATTGAACTCAAGACCTCTGGAAGAGCAGTCAGTGCTCTTAACCTGAGTCATCTCTCCAGCCCCTGAACAATTTTATTAATAAAATGAAAATGACACATTCCAAGTAGTCAAATTCTTTGTCCTTGCAGACCACGATTCCTGTAAAACAAGGTACAAATTAAGTATGCCCAATGTTTTTTTTAAAAAGATTTATTTATTTATTATGAATACAACATCCTGCCTCCATGTATGCCTGCATGTCAGAAGAGGGCACCAGATCTCATTACAGATGGTTGTGAGCCACCATGTGGTTGCTGGGAATTGAACTCAGGACCTCTGGAAGAGCAAGTTGGTGCTCTTAACCTCTGAGCCATCTCTCCAGTCCAAGTATGCCCAATGTTAAGATGTTAGTTAAGTCAGGTAGTACCAATGGCCTTTTCTAAGCACTGCATAGTAACTGAATTTGTAAAATGTCAGTCAGCTGAGGCAGTATAGATAGACCCTGCCACCTTCTTGTGGTTTTTCACCACCCGGCAGCTTGAGATTAATTAGCATCAGGGTTACATCCCACGAGCCTGTAATCTCTGGCTATTTCCACCAGCCTGATCCTATGACTTTGTATCAATGATCTGAATCAACAGTACCCACCTTCCACACTGGTTACTTCACTTTTGCCTCAGACCTGAAAAAGACAAGCCAGCCACTTTATCTTAATCACCTTGACAATTCTTCCTTTTCTGCACAAAGAAATTCAAATCCCTCAGACAGTTCCTTCTGGAACAAATTTTCCTCTTCTCTCCCAGCCAGCCCCAGTGGGTTCACCTTTTCAGGCTCTGGGGCTAGGACAGGAAGTAAGACATGTGATTGTTTCTTCATGGGGAAATTGTAATTTAGTACACCTTATATCTAAATTTTCTCACCTCATTTCAGTATGGCCTGGAGTGAAGACATGCTTAATTTCCCCGCAAGATAGACCTGAAAATAAAGTAGGGCCATTATTATCTCTATTGCTCAAGAAAAGAACATTTCAGATCCAGGGTTAGCTCACAACTCAGAAATACCCTTCGTCATAGCTTTCAGACTGGGGCGGTATTAACTCATCACTGGTGAGCACGCATGACACCTAATTTATACAGCAAACTATTTCAAGAGCATTACCTAGGAGGGTTCCTTGGCTTCCTTGGTGCTCTCTAGGCCAGACACCAGATCTGCAACAAGATAGTCAATGCTTATGCTTAAGTCATACAACAAGAACTACTGCCATTTAACCCATCAACCAGCGTTAATTCAGATTTCCAAGTCTCAACAGCAATCATCAGCCGAACGAGATTCTATGAAAGTCATCATATACACATAAGTTCCTTTAGGAACTTTGAAACCCAATGTTACATGCATGAGCACACACTGAAATTACTTACCACTGAACCAACAAGCATTCCATTGTAATTAGGACCTGGGGGGGGAGAGCAAACTGTTGAACAAAAGGGCTACAAACAGACACCCACACACCCTCCACTATTCAGTTTCTCAGGTGTTCATATGTTTTCATTGCCAGTCATAGTGAGCTAGTTTGATTCATCATAGAAACTGCCTACTTTGACCAACCCTATCCTATCAAACCCAGCAAAGTATCAACTAACCTCTGAATGTTGTAGACTGGTGGAATGCAGCAACGAACTCCTCCTGAATCAAGAAAGTTAATTAGCTAAAGTTTCTCTGAATTAGGTCCTCTTTCTGAGGCAGGGTTTGTGATTCACCTGTCTCCCAGGCTTGGATCAAAGGTGTGTAGCACCACATCCAGCTATCTTATGGTCAGCTAGTAGCATGCTCAATATAATGCTTATTTTCTCTTACACTGTTTTCCACTGGCAAACCACAGCAAAGTATTAAGCATGCTTTAAGTTTCATTATCTGTATTTAAGTATCCAGGAGGCAAATTGAACTTCAAAAATCAAACTATCCCCAAAGAGGGCTTGCTTTGGAAAGTCTACTAGCCATGTAAACAAATTCAGCCTTCATCAGTATCATGAAAAATAACCTCACCTTTAGACAAGCCATCAGGACATCCTGGGAAAGAGTAACAAGCAGTTAATTTTCAGTCGCCAGGATGAAACAACCCCCCCCCATGGCCACTAACTGCCATCAGAACTCTAACATGCTATTAATTCACAACTTCACAGAGCATCAGGGTATGGATTCAAATCATCTGACAGTGTCATGGCTTTTAAACAATAGAGTGTGCCCCTTCGATTTCTCATCTTACTCTCCAGAGAGAGGATAAAGTCGTTGGCTCATTTGGACAATTACCTGGACTCAATTCATCCCGGAAGAGTTTGAATTCCAGAGAATGTTACAGGATGCTGGGCACAGAAAACAGAAACCATTAGTCAATGGGATCATAATCGCCCCAACACCCCATCCATTCATTTAGCCCACTTTTCAGTCGTAAGATGACATCACTACAATTCAGTCATATGCTTGTCATTTACACTCATCATTAAGTGGTTGTCTAAACGTGTTTCCTCTTCTCAGCGTGCAACCATGTTTACCTACCTGGACTACCAGCTTGATCTAGCCTGGCTCCAAACTGTGAACTCCTTTGAGATTAACCGTATCTGGGTAAGCAAAAAAGGAAGCACCTCAGTAACAGTTTGCCTCAAATCCAACCCATCCACCTAGTGCAGACTGCGCTACTCAGAGACATTTTCCTGTCTTCTCCACTATAGCATCAGAAAGAGAGAGTTCAGGATCTAAATCATCCCTGCAGCACATGTACAACCTTCAGCCAGCAAAACAAACCATTAAAGACTTACAGCAAAGAGAGTACACTGCCATCCTTCCGTGTGCAGCCACGTGCCGCTAACCTGCAAAGGTGGAGTTAGCATTCGGTTACTTATATGCCGCTTTTGAAGAGAAAGGCGGGCGGGAAGCAGAAGGCCTTAGATACAGGGCCATCTTCCTCAGAGTTACTTTTCCCCACCGAAATCGGTACAGGTCTGTGAAAGGGTACTCATCATAGGAGGGCCTTGCACCGCCTTCGCCATTTTGCCCTTCACCATCGACCTCAAACGTAATTACGCTCCCTGCCTCGGTTACCGAGTCACGTCTGGGAAACGATGTTCATGCAGCCTCTTATAAGGACCCCCAGAAATAATTGTTTCTTAAAGAAAAGCCAGGCATTGTGGCTCACGCTCTTAATAACAAGAGGCAGGCAGATCTCTATGCGATCGAAGCCAGCGCTCCCTTCCGGGCAACCCAGGTTGGCTAAGGAAAAAAAAAAAGAGCTAACATAGAAAACGACACTTACCGGAGCACGAAAAAATGAGACCGAAACGAACAACGGACGTCCTTTAAATATCATTTCGCAGAGGCCCATGGGATTTGGAGGCGGGACTAGGAAGGACGTACGCGCTCGCGTAAACGACGTGAGAGCCGGGGGAATTGTGGGTTCCGGATTCCCTCTAAGGCGCCTGGAGAGCGCGCCTCCTCGAACCTGTAGCTCGAAAGAAGCGCATGCGCTGTTGAGGAGCGTGACGGTACGCCCTAGGCGCTGCTGCTAGGCGGTTCCAACCCACTGCGGTCGAGACGTCATCGCTGGAGGCTTGGTTTCGTGACCACTGCGGCCTGACTGGTCACCGGTCCCCGTACCTTTACGTTATTTCTTCCTCTCACTCACGCTAAAGGCGCGTGAAGATCCATCTCTATGGATCCCGAACCTAATGAACACTCCACCGGCGGCGTCTCGGTTCCCCGCCAGCCGCCCAGCGCGCAAACGGGGCCCGATGTTCAGGTTGTCAGCGCTGGGGGCGACTCAGGTACTGGGCCCCTGGCTGAGCTCGGTTGGAGATCCCTTGCATGAAGCCTTTTAGGGAAACAAATCAGGCCTCGAAGCCCCGCGTCATTCTGGAGACAGATTTTCTTGACCCACTGTGTTTTGCTGTGTCGTCTGTTTTCTCCGTGATCTGGGCCTGAATTGAAGAAGTCCAACATTAGGTCCCATTTATGGAGCATGTTGCATGTTTTTGTCCTGAACAGTGCTATAGATTAAACCTGAGGCTATGTGCATGTATAGACAAGAGCAATACTACTGAGTCTGCCATCTCTCCACCCAAATGGGCTTACCGTCTTAAAGCCCCCTATATTGTCCACAATACCAAGACATCGAAAACCCTCATTTTATACACGGGCGAGGTCTTAGATATGAAAGCTCTCCGGAGGGGTGGTGTTTTAAAACTTATCTGTTGTCTGGGTCACGGCTGGGGCAGGGACCCGCAGACTGGCTACTGATACTGTAACCAGCGGCATCGCATCATTAGTCATAGCTAACATTTATGTGCATAAGTTCTTGTTGTAGGCACTTATTACTCTCTTACTAGTTGTTCTTCAATGTGATCTTATTTAATAACCCAACTATTCGAGTTGGAAGTTATTAGGTAAAGTCATAGATGAGGAACCTGAGGCCTAAAGAGATTAAGTAATTTGCTGAAGGTTATACAAATAATATCAGATACAAGGAATAAATCCAGACGCCCTGGAACCTGGGAAGTTTTAAGTGGAAGCGCTACCGGCCTCTATATGTATACGAAGAGGTTAGAATGTTGGGTAGTCCGGTTCCAAACCCACCTTCAGGGTGCCAAGGGCAGGTCCTCCTCTGGAATCACCATAGCCCAGACATTAGCAGCTCCACCCCCGGAATGCATTAAAGGCCCCCACCTCTGGATTCACCTCGTGGTTCTTGGCTTTCTGTTCCCTTGGGGCCACCTAGGGATGCTTTGCTCAAATTAAACTTGGATTTATTAATTCGGTCTGACCAGTGGTGGGTTTCCATTAACCTTTCCACTAACCTGGATTTTTTTTTTTTTTTTTTTTTGGTTTTTCCCCGAGACTCGCTCTGTAGACCAGGCTGGCCTCGAACTCACAGAGATCTGCCTGCTTCTGCCTCCCAAGTGCTGGGATCAAAGGCGTGCACCACTAACACCCGGCTTTTAACTTGGATTTTTAACTTAACGACAACCACGTGTTATTCCAGTTCCAGTGGATCCAACTGACTTCTGAGAGTACCTGTGTTCAAGTGCAGAGACATCTTGCATACACACAATTGAACTCACTATGCAAACCAGGCTGGCCTTGAATTTAAAGAGATTTTCCTGGCTCTCCTTCCCAAGCCCTGAGATTAAAGGTGTGTACCGCCATGCCAGGCTCATAAATATTTTGTTCATTTTTCTCCACGTGGTAAGGAAGCCTCTGCCTCCTGAGTGCTGGGGCTAAAGGCGTGCGCCACCACTGCCTGACCAAATGCTGTTCTTGCAGAGGACCTGAGTTCAATTCCTGGCATTCATGTTATGTGGTTTACAGCCATCTGTAACTCCTGTTCCAGGGATTACAGCTCCATCTTCTGGCCTTCTTGGGCACTGCACATATGTGGCATGTGTTCCAGATGAGAAAGGTGAATATTGTATGAATTTACCCCAAATCTCTGCCTGGCTACTGGGGCAGAGCTGTTACTTAGTTACTCTAATCTCTACTTTTGACCCTTAAGGAAAAGTATCCAGATTTTGGGGATATGTAAACTTGAGTGCATTGATAAAAGTAGGCCCACCTTTGTTAAAGATTATTTATGGTAGCCGGGTGGTGGCGGTACACTTTCGATCCCAGCACTGGGGAGGCAGAGACGGGCAAATTTCTGTGAGTTCATGGCCAGTCTTCAAAGCTCTAAAAAAAAAAAAAGAAACAACATTGTCCGGCTTCAGGCAAACTTTATTTGTTAAGATCATAAACAAAATATCACCACACTCTAATTTCAGTTCCAGAGGATCTGACACACTCTTGTGGTCTCCAAGGGCATTAGACATGCATATGGTGCACAGACATACATGCAAGTAAAAACACCCATACACATAAAATAAGACCTATCTTAAGAAATTGTTTTGATGGGCGGTGGTGGCGCACGCCTTTAATCCCAGCACTTGGGAGGCAGAGGCAGGTGGATCTCTGTGAGTTCGAGGCCAGCCTGGTCTACTGAGTGAGTTCCAGGACAGGCTCCAAAACAATACAGAGAAACCTGTCTCTGGAAAAACAAAAAAAAAGAAATTGTTTTAAGTTCATTTCTCAACTCACAGTCCCTTAGTGTCTCTCCGCAATCCTTAGGCTACAGTCCAATTTGACCAATAACTGCTGTAAAGAAACACTGTTTGTTCCCTTATCTATTTGTTTCTGTTGTCATTTCCTTTCTGTTGCTGTGATAAAGTGCTCTGACAAAAAGCAACTTAGAAGAGAGATTTATTATAGCTTACAGTTTCAGGGTATAGCCCATCATTGTCAGGAAGCCAAGACAAACCTCAAAGAGCCACATCACATCTGTAGCCAAGAACAAAAGTAAACAAATGCATACATGGTCACCTGCTTGTTTGAGACAGATCAGGCCCTCCTATAGAATGAAGGATGCTATATACATATGTCTTCTATATCAGTTAATTTAATAAGACAGCTCCACAGACGTGGCTATATGTCAGTACAATGTGGACAGTCCCTCACTGGGACTCTTCCCATGTCATTCTGGGTTATATCAAGTTGTTAGTTAAAACTGACCAGTTTTTGGGATGGGGGAGTGTTCCTAGACAGGGTTTCTCTGTAGCTTTGGTCATTCTGTAGACGAGGCTGGCCTCTGCTACCTAATTGCTGGGATTAAAGGTATGTGCCACCGCGGGCGTTGGTGGCGCACGCCTTTAATCCCAGCACTTGGGAGGCAGAGGCAGGCAGATCTCTGTGAGTTCAAGGCCAGCCTGGTCTACAAGGCTAGTTCCAGGACAGCCTCCAAAACAATACAGAGAAACCCTGTCTCAAAAAACCAAAAAAAAAAAAAAAAAAAAAAAAAACACCAAAAAAAAAAAAAAAAGGTATGTGCCACCAGTGCCCAGTAATCCATTTCTTTTTAAACAAATCTTTTTAAAAAAGATTTATTTATTTATTACATATACAGTGTTACAGTGTTCTGCCTACAGGCCATAAAAGGGCACCAGATCTTATTACAGATGGTTGTAAGTTACCATGTGGTTGCTGGGAATTGAACTCAGGACCCCTTGAAGAGCAGTCAGTGCTCTTAACCTCTGGGCCATCTCTCCAGTCCCTTAAACAAATCTTTTTTATAATTGTGTGTGTGTGAGAGAGAGAGAGAGAGCCCACACATGCAGGTATGCCACAATACACGTAGAGAGGTCAGAGGGCAACTTTCAGAAGTTGTTTCTCTCTTACTATATGGGTCCCAAAGATAAAACCCAGGTCATCTCCAAATTATGTGAGTCCCAGGGACTGACCGCCCTGCTTCAAAGCCTTTGCTCCCTGAGCTATCTCACCAGTTTCCCCCCGAGCCTGACCCACAACTCCTACCAGCCACAAGATTCCTCATTTGATTTTATGCAGGCGCATCATCTCCCTATTACCTAGCAGGACACAAGACACAAATAGAACTAAATACTAATCATTAGTTTATCTCAGATGCATAGATGGTAAATAGAGACTGATGATGCTAGATAGGTACATGCATGCTAGGTAGTGCTCTAACACTAAACTATGAAGATGTATACACATGCTTTGTTTTTGAAAGCTTGGACTGGCTTTGAACTCTTAACCCTCCTTCCTCAGTCTCTGTCTCTGTCTCTGTCTCTGTCTCTCTCTCTGTCTCTCTCACCTTTTTCTAGTCTCAGTTGATCCTCCAAAACTGGTTATTAATCAAATGAGCTTGCTGTTAGAGTACCGATGCATGTTTGGTCAAAGAACAACCCTGCCCCCACCTGGTAGCAAGAGGCATGGCTTCCCTGTAGTGGAGAAAAGAAATGGGAAAAATGCCCAGAGCTGGTGGATGTGAGTGACTGTGGTGTGTGTATGGTGTATATATCTTCTGTGTATCTGTCAGTCTTAGTTTGTTCTAGGGGTCCAACACAGGGACTTGAAAATACTAAACACACACTGCACCACTAAGCTATACCCCTAACACTATATTTTATATTTTTGTTTTTTTGAGACATGGTTTCTCTGTTTAACAGCCTTGGCTGTCCTGGAACTCACTTTGTAGACCAGGCTGGCCTCAAACTCACAGATCTGCCTGCCTCTGCCTCCTGCCCCCACCCATTGCTGGGATTAAAGGCCTGTGTCAGTACCTACTGGCTGCATTTATTTAATAATTTATTTTTGTTTATTTACTTATTTATGTGAGTGGGTACCATGTAGCAAGTGTGGAGTTCAGAAGACCATTTTTGAGAGTTGGGTCTCTCTTCCCACCATGTGAGTCCCAGGGATCAAACTCAGGTCGTACTTGACAGCAGAGGCTTAGCCACTTACCAGCCCCTAAGTTAATATTATCTGTTTTGTATGGTTGTGATGGTTGA